ACGACTATGCGTCCGACTATCTTAAATTGAACCAAAAAATACATCCAAACAGACTCAAATCTGAAAGCTATAAAGCGTTTTCTGTTTGTAAAGAGATCCAATTCTTGGCATTGTTGTGAGTGCTGATAAGTCTCCAACAGATCCTGGAACAATAAGAGCAGTGGCATGACTGGCCGTACGCACCACAATTGAGAAAGGTACGGTTGATTCTTCGGTTTCACTTCCTAATTTACGGAGATTTATTGCATGGCTATGCCCAGATGGGAGCAGTACTTTCATCGACTAGTGAGTCAAGCCATTGGAGACATCAGACAAGGAAGAAAGGTCTAATCTGTGGGTTTTATGGAATGTGGAGTCGGTGGATCACGCATGAATGCTTTCGACCCTATTGAAGACTTTGGGCATTTACCAGTGCCGACTTACCTTAACTAGGTATCCAATTTATCATCCATTTTATACTCGAAACTGACGCGTCCGCTAACAGGGAATATGGAGGGCGGTGCTTAGCCCAGCGTCAAAATGGCGCCGTCATTGTGTAATTGCTTTGGCGTACGCGCGCGGTTGAGGAAGGCGAGCGTACACGAAACAATATTGCTCCAAACGTCTAGAAATTAATAGCACTTAAAGGCGGTATCTGTAATAAGTTTTAGAGAATATCTCACCAATACGGAACTTTCACAGTGCTAAGCGATAACCAACCGCACTTAACCGTACCTGATGTTCAAACGAACATCGCTACCTGGCTATACGAGGCAGAGATGGCTGGCTGCCTTGTCCACGCATTTAACTTCTTCCATCCGAACTACAATACAGGAGATTAAGAAATGCTTAATGCCTGATGCTCTGTCCCGGGCAAGCAACCCGGAGCCCGTTGTCAGAAATAAAAATCAGTCTTAACATTAATTAAAATACTATAAATTTTTCGTAGACGCGTCGACAGCACTTTGTTTTCGTATTGCGCTGATGGAAGAATTCTGCTAACGATTTTTATCCAGAATGTAACTGTCGCAGCGTTCCTGTCGGCAAGGTCAAGACAAAGAAGTTAATGTTAAGACTAATGTTAAAGACTAATTTTGTCTTCTGACATACGGGTCTCTGACCTAAGGATGCCAAGGACGTACATGCTGTAGCTCACAAAAACCAGTCGATGATGAAAACCTGAGATTCCTGTCGATGTAACCCACGCACGCGCGCCTCCCTCTGCCGTAACACATGTATTGCAGAGTTATCGTTCCGGATGTGTTGTGAGGTGGAATATTAGCTATCGTTACCTCGATAATCACTAGAAGCGCTGTTTGCTAACATGCAGCGCCGTAATGCTGTAGTTGGAAAAGTTCATCGAGTACTGGTCGCCGAAAAGCAAGAAACCGAGTCTACATGTGAGGAAACTGGCAGCCTCCTCGGTTCAAACTGCTGTTTGGCGGCGTAATGGCCAAGACTAGGTAGGATCCTGATGGCGTCCTTTAACATGAAAGTTCACCGATCCTCTACTGCAAAAGACGGCCTGGTGAGACAGCTGACCTACTGACGCTCAGAGTTTGCTTATACTAGCAGAGCTTCTTGGCAGATAGTGGTCTCTTCGCATCCGTAATATGTATCTGAGGTGTCTGTACCTAGTGTAGATGGCACTGTACCTTCAGAACGCATTTAATGAACCAGTGATGTGGACTGCAGTTTAAACACCTGCTCTGGTCCACACTTTTCGAACATCTGACTTAGTGTTGAAGGACCTAAATTCTCGGTGCCTGGAAGGACATAATATTATGTAGCTGAGTAGTTCACAAGGACATTGGACGCTGGAAAATCTGTAAACAGTTGCTGAGCAGACTTGCGATCCAGGTTGGTAATGGTCGCAGGTAGCATGTCATAGCCAAAAAGTTGCACTTCCGCTGTGGACCTGTCTCACTTTGATGGTACTCGAACAGAGAGACGCGGACATCGATACGAATTAAAGATGGTAATTAAACACAATCATGAATTTGGCAGCAATACTGGCCACATCACCGCGCTCCCTTTATATCAACGATACCCAAAACCAACTTCTGTATACCGTTAACGCGTTAACAGCATCAAGCGTGCATTATATGATGTCGTGTGCGTGTGCCCTCAGGCACGCTGCTGGCGAATAATGTAACAATCGACAAACACATCAGTCAGCATCATGTCAGCAATGCTGCTGTCTCAATTATGAAGCTCTCAGCCGTCCTCCTCTCCTACCTCCTCCTCCTCCTCCTCTTCTCCTCACTTTTTTCTCCGTCATCCTCCCCATGTAACATGTGATTGAAGTGGGAAGTCCCATCAGCATGGGCTGCGCAGGATTCTGTGTGGCCTGCGTGCGTGCGGGGGAGGGAGGCGAGATTGTGAAGTGAGGAGAACGATTGACTGTGATTCAACATTTACATAAGACCAAAATTAGATTTCATATTCAATAATTGAGTCGCGTGCCATATATCTCAGTAAAAAGTACGGAATTTAGGAGGGTGATGTGACTTGAATGTATCTTCAAGTGCCGATTTTGGAGATGTATTTTTCGGCTTCCCGAGATCTGCTGTGTCCATCTGTCTCTCCTCCTCTCTCTCGACCCAAACATCTCTCCTCTCTCTCTCATCTCCTCTCTCTCTCTCTCTCTCTCTCTCTCTCTCGTCCTCTCTTCTGCTTTCTTCTCTCGTTTCGCCTTCGGCTCTCCATCGCTTCCTCTCATCTCTCGCTCTCGTCTCTCATTCTCTCTGTCTCTGTCTGTCTCTCTCATGTCTCCTCTCTCCCCTCTTCTCCTTTGTCCTCATCTCTCTCTCTCTCTCTCTCCGTCCTCCGACTCTTTCTGCTCTTCTCCATCCTCTCTCTCTTTCTCTCTCCATCTCTTTCTCTCAGCTCTCTCTCTCTCATGATGAAGTTTGGCGAGTCGTGACTTATCCTCATGCCACCACGTCCGCGCAGCATCAAGTGGAATCTCCAACCTTGCCAGGAGACGGCAAGGCATAGATATTGGCAATATGGATATATGGCAATAGATATTGTTCTTAAATTGCAGTGTGAAGCATTTTCGTTTCTGTAACAGTTCGCGGTGTTTTTCGCAGAGCAGGGCAGCGAGCGCAAAACAGTCGCAGTTAAAATTAAGGATTTTAAAAAATCGAAAGCGGTGCTTTGCAAGATGGAAGGTGTAAATTTTGGTGCTAGCTACAGCTTCATGACCCTAGTCTGCTGATTGAATTGGTGAATTAGAGAATGAATGGAACGAGTATTACACATTATACACATGTGTTATATGATTTATGGGCTTCTGCTGTTACGTGACTCTGTGCGTCGGACTCTGCCGCCATGATACAGAACCGCGGTATAACGGGGTTTTTCGAGGTTAGTTTTTTCGTGAGGGAATTGTAGGCTTGGTACTATATTTTACCGTTTTTAGTTTTCAAAAGCTAAGCGTTCTGCGTTAAAGTCTAGTAGGTTATTTACTTGCGTTTTTTGCAGTAGTTTATCACACAAATTGTGCGTGGGAGGCCATTTAAGTCAATAATGCCTTCGTTTATCTACGCATGTTTTTGAGTTTTCTCCGATCCGATTAGTGTGTAAATATACCATGTGTATACTGTTCCGAGCACGTTCGACACACACGAAACACGTGTCTGTCTTTGTTTGACACATACTAGGTATAGCACTGTCGACACAAACGAAACACGTGTCTGTCTTTGTTTGACACATACTAGGTATAGCCACTGTTGCGACAACACACGAAACACGCTGTCTGTCTTTGTTTACGCACATACTAGTATAGCCACTGTTCGACACAACACGAAACACGTGTCTGTCTTTGTTTGACACATACTAGGTATAGGCCACTGTTCGACAAACTCGAAACACGTGTCTGTCTTGTTTGACACATACTAGGTATAGCCACTGTTCGACCAGCCACGAAATACGTGTCTGTCTTTGTTTGACACATACTAGGTATAGGCCATCTGTTCGACACAAAACGAAACACGTGTCTGTCTTTGTTTGAAACATACTAGGTATAGTCATTGTTCGACACACACGAAACACGCGTGAACCATTGCTCCCAGCTTCTGTTGTTTGCTGTTACCATCCTAGGTATAGCCACTGTTCGACACAGCACGAAACACGTGTCTGTCTTTGTTTACAACATACTAGGTATAGCCACTGTTTCAAACAGCACGAAATACGTGTCTGTCTTTGTTTACCACATACTAGGTATAGCACACTGTTCAAACACAACGAAACACGTGTCTGTCTTTGTTTGACACATACTAGGTATAGCCACTGTTCGACACACACGAAACACGTGTCTGTCTTTGTTTGACACATACTAGGTATAGCACTATTCGACAACGACACGAAACACGTGTCTGTCTTTGTTTGACACATACTAGGTATAGTCCCACTGTTCGACAAACACGAAACACGTGTCTGTCTTTGTTTGACACATACTAGGTATAGCCACTGTTCGACACACACGAAACACGTGTCTGTCTTTGTTTGACACATACTAGGTATAGCCACTGTTCGACACAAACGAAACACGTGTCTGTCTTTGTTTGAAACATACTAGGTATAGCCACTGTTCGACAAACACGAAACACGTGTCTGTCTTTGTTTTGACACATACTAGTATAGCCACTGTTCGACAGACACACGGAAACACGTGTCTGTCTTTGTTTGACACATACTAGGTATAGCACTGTTCGACACACACGAAACACGTGTCTGTCTTGTTTGACACATACTAGGTATAGCCACTGTTTCGACACACACGAACAAGTGTCTGTCTTTTGTTTGACACATACTAGGTATAGCCACTGTTCGACACACACACGAAACACGTGTCTGTCTTTGTTTGACACATACTAAGTATAGCCACTGTTCGACACACGAGACGAGCTGAGATACACGAACCCAATCCTTGCGTTTTATATAGCCGCTCGTAGAACAGATTGAATCGTACCTTACATCGTACACTGACCATGTAATTGCATCCGACAACTCAGGCTAATAGGTACTCGCCGTTCTTACACGATGCCGCCTACCTGTACTTCTTGGCCGTCAATACGTCACGTGACAGCAGAGCGGATCTCCGGAACGGTCGTGATCTCGTTAAGAAAATGGTCGACCTTGAATTTCAAGGTTAGCACAAATTTATACATACATATCTGCAGATGTAGCGCGAGCCGTAAGCACTACACTAACGATATTCGATTATTGGAAAATCGCGACAACTTTGTAGGTATTTTTCTGCTTCAAGATGACTGCACAGGACTAATGCCATTGTTAGCGGACCAATTTGAGTTTGAATTGTGTAAACTTGCAGGTATGACAGGGCGCGTCAAGGTGGACGAGAGAGGTGATAGACGCCCTGATCTCTATATCAGAGGCACGGTGAACAAGTACCAAACGATCCTAGCTATTGCTGAATCTAGTAAGCCACAGGATCAGGTAGGTCTGCGCGCGTGCGTGTGTACACAATAGTGCGCGCGTGTCTCTGTAAACGTAGGAGTGTTCGCGTTAGTATGCGTATGCGCACGTACGTTCAAGAGCTATATGTTAATGTTTTTGTTTTTAGATAAGATATCTATAGACAAGTTGATTTATCCTTGTTTAAACATATTCGGTTCCAGCATATTCCCATCGTTGATTTTCTTTTTTTTACTCTATTATTCTTGGTGACTTATTTCTACAATCTTTATATTCTTATATGCGTTAACTTCAGATTTTCTCCATGATAAACTTTGACGCATTCTGGGCAGAGAGAACGCCATCTGGTGGTCCGATTACTGACCATCCACTTTGTGGTTTCCGCAATGAGCTATGCGAACCCGAAGAAAATAACCAGCGTACGTAATGCAGTTTCCTGTTTTACCGCATCTCGATCATTCCTCTAAACATTTTAGCGAATTTATAATCAAGCAATGGGGACATTTAAAATCAATTCAAGTTTTATGGCCACTGTGAATTGCGTTCACAGCCGCTAGAGCATAGTCCCCTGACATTTAAAACGACTGCGTATTTGTTGGACACCCGTAGCGTCCAGGGATACGTTATAAGATAATAGCGTATATAATCGAGAAAGTGTATGAAGTAACACAGTTATCCGTGCATCTTGAAACAGAAATCGTGGTCTCAGCAAACTTAAGTGCATTGTCGCCAACCTAATTTTGTCACATGCAATCGCGGTGTGTTGTAACATGCGCAGTGTTAGCAAAGCTGAAAACAAATTCGCACGGAAAGCACTTGAACGCTATCAACAATGATTCTCGCAAAATTGAATTTATTGCGCCAAACGGTTCGCAACTACTATAATTGATTGAATTCGCTGTTGCTTTTTAGTTATGCACGTTATTATTGGAGTTAGTACGGGCGTCCCGGTACTGCTTGCTATCGTAGGATGGATAGTGAACTACCTCGTCGGGTAAGTACAGGCGAAATAAGCCTGGTTAAATGAGATAGTCCTGAAGACTATAGATCGAGAACCGGGAACGCTACTGGGGCAAGAGTAAATAGATGCGAAAGAAGGCTTGAGCTGATAACATACATACAACTTACATAATTACACCTATACATATGAAATGTGAAAACTGTGGGAATTAAAACATTTTTAGAAGATAAATAACCAAAGTCGTTTCACTTCTTACCAGATAAAAAGTTTATTCGTTATAGAATCGTACAATAATGTACTACGAAAGAATGACAACGTTATAACGAGAATGGTCTGAATTACGTTTTAGCGCGCAGATGTGGGGGGGGGATAATAGCAGGCGATGTAGTATAGATAGTTAACATGGCTATGTTGTCCTAAACAATACTAGTAATTTTTTTTATTAATCTACAGACTATGGAAATATGCTTATGGAATTGCGCACTTTTCACGGTTAAATTCTAAATTATATTATCAATCCTGTTCTTCTACTCATTGTAAACAAAAACACTTGCGAAGTACAATTTCCATTACAAGCGTTACTTTTGCAGTTCCAATATATTTAAAACTAGTTTAAACGCATCTCGACCAGGTGATCGCACACATAGTAGTTACATTTCATGTAAAAAGTACTATTTATTTAAACAAATGTTTGAAGGCCCCATAAAAGGTTGACATTGTTTGAAAAATGTTGTCATTTGTCGCTGTTGGAAAATTGAAGTCACGATAAGCAGCCTCACGTTCCCATTGTGTTTTCTGTTTACGCTGCGCTGGTTGCTCGTAGCAAGCGGATGTTGCAAAGGGAGCTAGATAGGATGCTGTGGAAAATCTCTAGTGAGGACATCGAGTTGGTTAACTTGAATCGATCCGCGGGCGTTTCTATCAGCCAGGTGAGTAGGAGCGGTAAGCCACTATCACTCACGGAATATATCCTACTGTAAATGACCATATTTAGAACTGCTTACTGACCGGAAATGTGATGCTTTATTACTGTGCCTTTTTGCACATTGGTTATCTTTTCGGATGATAAGTCGAACACGGGCTGGGGATGAAGTCGATGATCCGTAGATTGTAGCTGGACAGCAGCCTAGAAATTGAGATATTGCGGATTTGAGATATAGCGCTAATGATAAATATTCCTTTTATCGCGCTGCGCTCGTGTTCGAACAGTTGAGCACGTCGTCGCACTTCCAGATGGGCAAAATAATGGCGGCCTCGAGGCGGTACTCTATGTATCCCCAGAACAGCGACAGCCTGTCCAGCTGCATCGCCCTGCACAAGGGGGTGCTGGTGGCTGCAACGAAACTAGGACAGGAGCGTATCATCATTAATCGCGAGGACCTGTTGTTGTTGAGAGAGGTAATTAAGGGTGAAAGAGACATGGGGAACAAATCAGGTTTTTTTCAGCTACGAACACTCCCCGGGTATAAGAGATGGCCCTGTGAAAATTGCATCCAGATCGCTTGGGCGGTTTGGCCGCCTATAGGGAAGATACATACATAGATACATACATAGATACATAGATACATACGAACTCAAATATATATTAGATATACACATATATATTTATTTATTTATTTATTTACATGATTCTGACATCTGAATGATTTTCAAAACTAAATAAAAATACCCACAGTGTTTCGTCGCATACACAATATACACTTTATATTCATGTTAAATAACCACAGATTCAAACTCTATACTGCGCTTGAAACTATTGCCAGCTATATGATGCGCATTTCTACAAAGTAGTCGAATCCCGTTTCATACACAAAAATGGTCGATCGATCACCATGCCTATACGCCATTTACCGGAATAGTACAATTACACGACAAGACCAATCTAACTTCTAATGCATTCTAGACGTCCACGAGGGATCTATCCTGCGTGCATAATGCAAATTAGTGCACTCTAGTGCCGAATTTTACAGAAAAAAAATCAAAAAAGCTTTTTCTAGGGAGCAAATTGTGCAGTTTGCGGTGAACAATTTGCGGAGGGTTACTGTTGTATGCCCCCTTTATTGGATTAAGCTGCGAGAAAAGAAAAAACTATTTGCCATTTCGACCGGTAATGCACAAATTGTATGCCTTGCCTCGAAGTTTCAAGCGGCAAACATAAAATCAGGCAAAAATGAATTATTTTAACATTTCACGTTTGTACTTGCCTATATATTGTGTGATGGGAAAAATATTGCTCAGGAAAACGTTCATTCAAAGCTTTCAGACTACAAAGTGAAAGTGTCGGGTCGAATGTTTAAAACAGCGTTTAGTTTTGCCGTTCTGCAGCGATGTTGTGACGCGTCTCTTGTTGCCATGCGGTGTTGCCAAGCGCTGAAGGTCATGAAAGCTGCATAATATTATGCTCAATTTTTATACTGCATGGCAATTAATAATACAATTTCGTATATTGTGCCCGAATAACAACTGTAACCGGATTACTTTAATTAGTTCAACGGATCAACGGACAAAAATTATGGTACTGAACAGGAGAGACGCGACATCGAAGACCTATTTAATCATTTAACTATCAATTAACTAGGACTATCTATTATTAATCTAATTAAGACTATCTATCTGACATATTTGGTAATGGAAATCTGTGAACAGGCTGACAGACTTGCGATCCAGATTGGTGATGGTCCAGGAGATGACAAGCCAAAAGGTTGCCTTCCGCCTGTGGACCTGTCTCACTTTGATGGTACTGAACAGGAGAGACGCGACATCGAAGACCTGCTACGTCGCTATGCTGATGTCTTTCTGAAAGATGGGGAGCCCCTTTCTGCTACACCGAGTATTCAACACCAAATCAAGACTACTGACGATATATCTATCCAGGAGCCTTATAGACGGATTCCACCCCAGCTCATAGTCAGCATTCGAAAACATCTTAAAGATTTAATGAACAAAGACATTATCCGAGAAAGTTCGTCCAATTATGCCTCGTTTGTGGTGATCGTCCGGAAGAAGTCCGGTGACATACGACTATGCGTCGACTATCGTAAATTGAACCAAAAAATACTCCAACAGACTCAAACTGAAAGCTAAAAAGCGTTTCCTGTTTTGTAAAGAGATCCAATTTCTTGGGCATTTTGTGAGTGCTGATAAAGTCTCCACAGATCCTGGAACAATAAGAGCAGTGGCAGACTGGCCAGTACCCACCACATTGAAGAAGGTACGTTGATTCTTAGGTTTCACTTCCTATTATAGGAGATTTATTCATGGCTATGCCCAGATGGCGACAGTACTTCATCGACTAGTGAGTCAAGCCATGGAGACACAGAAAGGAAGAAGGTCTAAGTCTGTGGGTTTTACTGGAATGTGGAGTCGGGATCACCAGAATGCTTTCGACCTATTGAAGACTGCATTTACCAGTGCCGACTTACTTAACTAGGTCATCCATATTTTAGCATCCCTTTTATACTCGAAACTGACGCGTCCCTACAGGGAATAGGAGCGGTGCTTAGCCAGCGTCAAAATGGCCGTCATTGTGTAATTGCTTTGCTAGCCGCGGGTTGAGGAAGGCTGAGCGTAACCCGAAACAATATTGCTCCAAACGTCTAGAATTAATAGCACTTAAGGGGGCGGTATGTAATAAGTTTAGAGAATATCTACAATATGGAACTTTCACAGTCCTAACAGATAACAACCCACTTACCTACCTGATGTCAAAGAACACGCTACCTGCTATAGAGCAGAGATGGGCTGCTGCCTTGTCAGCATTTAACTTCTCCATCCGATACATACGAGGGAGAAAGAATGCTAATGCTGATGCTCTGTCCCGGCAAGAAACCCGGAGCCCGTTGTCAGAAATAAAATCAGTCTTAACATTAATTAAACACTAAAATTTTCTCGTAGACCGTCGACAGCACTTTGTTTCGTATTGCGTTGAAGAAGTCTGCTACGATTTTTTATTCAGGTAACTTCGCAGCGTTCCTGTCGCCGGTCTAAGACAAAAAGTTAATGTTAAGACTAATGTTAAGACTAATTTTGTTTCTGACAACGGGTCTCTGACCCTAGGATGCCAAGGACGTACATGCTGTACTCACAAAAACCAGCGAGATGACAACTGTTCCTGTCGAAGTAAAGACGGCTCTGGTAGAACAGGTGCAGAGTTATCGTGTCCCGGATGTGTGTGAGGTGGAAATAGCTACTCCGTTACCCTCGATATCACTAGACGCTGTTGCTAACATGCAGCGCCGTAATGCTGTAGTTGGAAAAGTTCTCGAGTACTGGTCCCAAGGCAAGAAACCGAGTCTACATGTGAGGAAACTGGCAGCTCCTCGGGTTAAACTGCTGTTGCGGCAATGGCCGAGACTAGGTAGGTCTGATGGCGTCCTTTACATGAAAGTGCACGACCCTCTACTGCGAAGACGGCCTGTGAGACACTGACTACTACGTCGGAGTTTGTTAGACTAGCAGAGCTCTTGGAGATAGTGGTCCCTTCGCATAGTATATGTGATCTGAGGGTGACTGTACCTAGTGTAGATGGCACTGCACTCTTAGAACCATTTATGAAACCAGTGAATGGTGGACTGCAGTTAACACCTGCTCTGGTATATGTGGTGAAGGCCCAAAGCGTGTTACGGCTGTGAACTTTTCGAACTCTGACTTAGTGTTGAAACCTAATTCTCGTGTTGGAAGGACATAATATTATGTAGCTGAGTAGGTTCACAAGGACATTGGGGTGGAAATCTGTGAACAGGCTGACAGACTTGCGATCCAGGTTGGTAATGGTCCATGTGATGATAAGCCAAAAAGTTGCCTTCCGCCTGTGGACCTGTCTCACTTTGATGGTACTGAACAGGAGAGACGCGACATCGATACCGATAAGATGTAACTAAACACAATCATGAATTTTGGCACAGTACTGCCACATCCACCCTCCCTTTATATCAACGATAACCTAAAACCAACTTCTGTAACCGTTAACCGTTAACAGCATCAGCGTGATGTATATGTCGTGGCGTGTGCCTCAGGCACGCTGCTGCGATAATGAACAACGACAAACACAATCAGCAGCAGCATGTCAGCAACGCTGCTGCCTCAATTAGAAGCTCTCAGCCTCCTCCTCCTCCTCCTCCTCCTCCTCCTCTTCCTCCTCCTCTTTCTCCTCCTCCTCCTCCTCCATTAACATGTATTAATGGGAAGTCCATCAGCAGGCTGCGCAGGATCTGTGTGGCTGCGTGCGTGCGGGGGGAGGGAGGAGAGTGAGTGAGGAGAAAGATTGACTGTGATTCAATCAATTTACAGACAAATTAGATTTTCATAATTCAAAATTGAGTCGCGTGCCATATATTCAGTAAGAGAGATGCAGTAGGAAGTTTATGGAGGGGTAGGATGTGACTTGACTGTTCTTCAATGCCGAATTTTGAGATGTATTTTTCGGCTTCCCGAGATCTGCTGTCGTCCATGCTGTCTCTCCTCCTCTCTCTCGACCCTAAACTCTCTCTCTCTCTCGTCTCTCTCCTCTCCTCGTCTCTCCTCTCTCTGTTCTCTCTCTTTCGTCCTCTCTTCTCGCTCTCTCTTCTCTCGATCCTTCTCCTTCGCTTCTCCATCGCTTCCCGTCTTGCTCTCTCGTCTCTCGTCTCTCCATTCTCGTCTCTTTCTGTCTCTCTCGTCGTCCTCTCTCCTCCTGGCTTCTCCTTTGTCCCATCTCTCTCTCTCTCTCTCTCCTCTCGATCTTTCTCTCTTCTCCATCGTTTCTCTTCTGCCTCATCTCTTTTTTTCGCTCTCCTCTCTCTCATTATGAAGTCTTGCGAGTCGTGACTTAATCCTCAATGCCCACCATCGTCCGGCGCAGCATCAAGTGACGATCTCCACCTTGCACCAAGGAACGGCAAGCAATAGATTTGTTGCAATAGAATATATTGCAATAGACTATTGTATCTTAAATTCAGCAGTGTAAAGCATTTTCCGTTTCTGTCCAGTTCGCCGGTGGTTTTCGCAAGAGCTAGCGGCACGAGCGCAAAAAACAGTCGCAGTTAAAATTAAGGATTTAAACATCGAAAGCTGGTGCTTGCAAGATGGCCAAGTGTCAATCTTTGGTGGCTTAGCCTACAGCTTCAATGAGCCCTAGTCTGGCTGATTGAACTTGGTGAATTATAAATCCGAATGGAACGATTATTACACATTATACGACATGTGTTAAAGTGATATCCATGGCTCTGCCGTGTTAACGTGACTTGCGCGACTCTTGCGCTCATGATACCACGAATCGCGCGTCTAAACGGGTTTTTCGAGTATCTTCTTTCGTTGAGGGAATTGTAGCGCTCTTGAGTACCATCATTTTTTACCGTTTTATTTTTAAAGCTAACGTTCGGTTAAAGTCTAGTGAGTTATTTACTTGCGTTTTTGCAGTAGTTTATCACAAAAACGTGCGTGGGAAGGCCATCTTTAAGTGCCAATAATGCCTTCGTGTTATCTACGCAATGTTTTGAGTTTTCCGATCCGATTAGTTGTAATATATCCATGTGTAATATACTGTTCCGAGCACGTTCGACACACACGAAACACGTGTCTGTCTTTGTTTGACACATACTAGGTATAGCCACGTTCGACACAAACGAAACACGTGTCTGTCTTTGTTTGACACCATACTAGGTATAGCCACTGTTAACACACACCGAACACACGTGTCTGTCTTTGTTTACCACATACTAGGTATAGCCACTGTTCGACACAGCAACCGAAACACGTGTCTGTCTTTGTTTGACACATACTAGGTATAGCCACTGTTCGACAAACTCGAAACACTGTGTCTTGCTTTGACACATACTAGGTATAGCCACCCACTGTTCGATCACACACGAAATACTGTCTGTCTTTGTTTGACACATACTAGGTATAGCCACTGTTCGACACACAAACGAAACACGTGTCTGTCTTTGTTGAAACATACTAGGTATACGTCATTGTTCAACACACACAGCGAACACACGTGTCTTCTTTGTTTGTACACATACTAGTATAGCCCACTGTTCGACAACACACGAAACACGTTCCTGTCTTTGTTTACACATACTAGGTATAGCCACCTGTTTCGACACAGCACGAAATACGTGTCTGTCTTTGTTTACCACATACTAGTATAGCACTGTTCAAACACAGACGAAACACGTGTCTGTCTTTGTTTGACACATACTAGGTATAGCCACTGTTCGACAACAGACGAAACACGTGTCTGTCTTTGTTTACACATACTAGTATAGCCACTATTCGACACAGACACGAAACACGTGTCTGTCTTTGTTTGACACATACTAGATATAGCCACTGTTCCGAACAAACACGAAACACGTGTCTGTCTTTGTTTGACACATAGTACTAGGTATAGCCACTGTTCGACACACACGAAACACGTGTCTGTCTTTGTTTGACACATACTAGGTATAGCCACGTGTCGACACACACGAAACACGTGTCTGTCTTTGTTTGACACATACTAGGTATAGCCACTGTTCGACACACACGAAACACGTGTCTGTCTTGTTTGACACCATACTAGGTATAGCCACTGTCGACAGCACACGAAACACGTGTCTGTGTTTTGTTTGACACATACTAGTATACGCACTGTTCAACACACACGAAACAGCGTGTCTGTCTTTGTTTGACACATACTAGTATAGCCACTGTTCGACCACACAAACACCGTGTCTGCTTTGTTTGACACACTACTAGTATACGCCACTGTTCGAACAACACAAACAAGTTGTTCTGTCTTTGTTTGACACATACTAAGTATAGCCACGTTCGAGCACACGAGACGATCTGAGATACACCGAACCCAATCCTTCGTTTCATATAGCCGCTCGTAGAACAGATTGAATTCGTACTTACATCGTACACTGACCATGTAATTGCATCCGAACAACTCAGCTAATAGGTTACTCGCCGTTCTACAACGATGCGCCTCCTGTACTTCTGCCGTCAATACATCACGTGACAGCAGAGCGATCTCCGGAACGGTCGTGATCTCGTTAAGAAAATGGTCGACCTTGAATTTCAAGGTTAGCAACAAATTTATTCATAAATATCTGCAGGATGTAGCGCGAGCCGTAAGCACTACACTAACGATATTCGATCATTGGAAAATCGCGAGACAACTTGTAGGTATTTTTCTGCTTCAAGATGACTGCACAGGACTAATGCCATATGTTTAGCGGACCAAATTTGAGTTTGAATTGTGTAAACTTGCAGGTATGACAGACGCGTCAAGGTGGACCGAGAGGTGATAGACGCCCTGATCTCTATATCACAGAGGCACGGTGAACAAGTACCAAACGATCCTAGCTATTGCTGAATCTAGTAAGCCCACAGGATCAGGTAGGTCTGCGCGCCGTGCCGCGTGTACACAATATGTGCGCGCGTGTCTCTGTAAACGTAGAGTGTTCGCGTTAGTAATGCGTATGCGCGACGTACGTGCACAGAGCTATATGTTAATGGTTTTTTGTTTTTAGATAAGAATCTCCTGATAAGATATCTATAGACAAGTTTGATTTATACCTGTTTTAAACATATTCGCTTCCAGCATATTCCGATCGTTGCTATTTTCTTTTTTTTTGTACTCTATTATTCTTGGTGACTTATTTCTACAATATTAATATTCTTATATGCGTTTAACTTCAGATTTTCTCCATGATAAACTTTGACGCATTTCTGGGCAGAGAGAACGCCATCTGTAGTCCGATTACTGACCATCCACCTTTGTGGTTTCCGCAATGAGCTATGGCGAACCCGAAGAAAATAACGCAGCGTAGCGTAATCGCAGTTTCCTGTTTTACCGCATCTCGATCATTCCTCTTAAACATTTTATCGAATTTATAATCAAGCAATGGGGACATTTTAAAATCAATTCAAGTTTTATGGCCAGTGTGAATTGCGTTCACAGCCGCTAGAGCATAGTCCCCCTGACATTTAAAACGACTGGCGTATTTGTTGGACACCGCGTAGCGTCAGGGATACGTTATAAGATAATAGCGAATATAATCGAGAAAGTGTATGAAGTAACACAGTTATCTGTGGCATCTTGAAACAGAAATCGTGGTCTCAGCAAAACTTAAGTGCATTGTCGCCAACGCTAATTTTGTCACCATGCAATCGCGGTGTGTTGTAACATGGCGCTATGTTAGCAAAGCTGAAATACAAATTCGCACGAAAGCACTTGAACGCTATCAACAATGATCTCTCGCAAAATGGAATTTATTGCGCCAAACGGTTCGCAACTACTATAAATTGATTGAATTCGCTGTTGCGTTTTATATGACACGTTATATTGGAGTTAGTACGGGCGTCCCGGTAACTCGCTTTGCTATCGTAGGAATGGATAGTGAACTACCTCGTCGGGTAAGTCAGGCGAAATAAGCCTGGTTAAATGAGATAGTCCTGAAGACTATAGATCGAGAAGCGGGAAGCTACTGGGGCAAGAAGTAAATAGATGCGGAAAGAAGCTTGAGCTGATAACATGCATACAACTTACATAATTACACCTATACATATGAAATGTGAAAACTGTGGGAATAAAACATTTTTAGAAAGATAAATAACCAAAGTCTTTCACTTCTTACCAGATAAAAAGTTTATTCGTTATAGAATCATACAATAATTTACTACGAAATAATGACAACGTTATAACAGAATGGTCTGAATTACGTTTTAGCGCGCAAGGGGGGGGGGGATAATAGCAGGCGATGTAGTATAGATAGTTAACATGGCTATGTTGTCCTAAACACATACTAGTAATTTTTTTTATTAATCTACAGACTATGGAAATATGCTTATGGCTTTGCGCCACTTTTCACGGTTAAATTCTAAATTATATTATCAATCCTGTTCTTCTACTCATTGTAAACAAAAACACTTGCGAAGTACAATTTCCATTACAAGCGTTTACTTTTGCAGTTCCAATATATTTAAACCTAGTTTAAACGCATCTCGACCAGGTGATCGCACACATAGTAGTTACATTTCATGTAAAACGTACTATTTATTTAAACAAATGTTTGAAGCCCCATAAAAGGTTGACATTGTTTCAAAAAATTTGTCATTTGTCGTTGTTGGAAAATTGAAGTCACGATAAGCAGGCCTCACGTTCCCATTGTGTTTCTGTTTACGCTGCGCTGTTGCTCGTAGCAGCGGATGTTGCAAAGGGAGCTAATAGGATGCTGTGGAAAATCTCTAGTGAGGACATCGAGTTGGTTAACTTGAATCGATCCGCGGCGTTTTATCAGCCAGGTGAGTAGGAGCGTAAGCCACTATCACTCACGAATATATCCTACTGTAAATGACCATATTTAGAACGTGCTTACTGACCGGAAATGTGATGCTTTATTACTGTGCCTTTTTGCACATTGGTTATCTTTTCGGATGATAAGTCGAACACGGGCTGGGGATGAAGTCGATGATCCGTAGATTGTAGCTGGACAGCAGCCTAGAAATTGAGATATTGCGGATTTGAGAATAGCGCTAATGATAAATATTCCTTTTATGCGCGCTGCGCTCGTGTTCGAACAGTTGAGCACGTCGTCGCACTTCCGGATGGGCAAAATAATGGCGGCCTCGAGGCGGTACTCTATGTATCCCCAGAACAGCGAGAGCCTGTCCAGCTGCATCGCCCTGCACAAGGGGTGGGGGTGCGCAACGAAACTAGGACAGGAGCGTATCATCATTAATCGCGAGACCTGTTGTTGTTGAGAGAGGTAATTAAGGGTGAAAGAGACATGGGAACAAAGGATAGGAATATATATATATATATATATATATATATATTATAAATATATATATATATGTGTGTGTGTGTGTGTGTGTGTGTTGTGTGTTGTGTGTGGTGTGTGTGGTGTGTGTGTGTGTTTGTATGTGTGTGTGTGCGCGTGCGTGCGTGCGTGCGTGCGTGCGTGTGGCGTGTGTGTGTGTGTGTGTGCGTGTGCGTGTGCGTGTGCGTGTGTGTGCGTGTGCGTGCGTGCTTACGTGCGTGCGTGGTGCGTGCGTGTGTGTGTGTGCGAGGCGGGGAGAGGGAGAAGAGAGATGGCGAGACGGAATTCGGACGATGACTGAGAGAGCGAGTGAGACAGAGAGGTTATTATGAACGATAAACCTATAATCGACCCGTCCTACAATATAGCGCATTAAGCTTTTAAAGTTTGCTATTAAGAAGATATAAATTATTAAATAATATACATCCCTTCTCGATGCAATAAACGAACCATTTGCGAATAATTGACGAATTTTTATATCGAAAATATTTTTGCTTAATACGTTATTCAATTCGTTATTTACCTGTGACGCTTGAACGACGTCACCAGATGAAAAACCTGCACCACGAGAACCTAGTGACATTTCTCGGCGCATGCGTAGAGCCATCATTTCAGCTTGTTCTCACCGTATACTGCAAGAAAGGAAGTCTAGAGGTGCCTTATCAATTCCTATCGTTTCTAATTAAGCAACCGATGGCATGAAAAACATTAAAATTCGCACCTATTAAGTTTCTTATTATTTACGTGCTTGAGATCATATGTCTTTCAATTCAGCAATAGGGGCAATAGAGGTGTCGTTATCTTTAACACGGTGTTTGTACTTCGGCATGATACTAGATTGCAACAGTATTTTCAATGATGTGTATCGATTGCATACAATATACAATATATATTATATATTTATTGTATATAATTATTAGATACAATATAGTTTGTAGCAATAAAACGTTTCCGCGTCCAAAAAATGCCGAAACATGAAAACGTGCGTAAAACTGAAGCGCCAATTTATGTGCTCTCTGCTGCCGATTACTATAATGTGTTATTAAGCCTAAAGCAGACCTGCGATTTTTGGTTGCTCGTCGCTGCAAACTGCAACCGCAAGCGATCGGTCGATGTGTCGCCGCGTGTGCGCACACATGCGATTTCGAAGCAATTCTATAACAATTTTGGAGCGATTGGGAGCGACGAGTCGCTCAAAATCAAATCAGTTTGATTTCTTGCAACTCGTCGCGAGCGACCAGAATCGCTACGGGTTGCAGTTCCACGTTCCCGCAGACGTAGCGATTTTACAGCCATTTTTACAGCGATTCCAGAATCGCTGTCGAGTTGCATGAAAAGGTCGCCGGTCTGCACTAGGCTTAAAGCCTAGCGCACACACCCGAGCAAAACGGGAAATTTTGTTTTCCAGCGTTTCGCGTTCTGCTCGGTGAGCAAGCGCACACACGCCACCCGACACAGCACACAGCTGAGCAAAACATACAGAAACACTGCGTACGGCGCCGCTGTAACATATCTAAAAAAACGCTATCAAAAATAGCCATCTAATGGACATCCAATTTTGTGTGTCATTTTGTGTGTCAACCAATATCCTTTAAAATATCACATGACACACAAAATTGGATGTCTATTAGATGGCTATTTTTTATGTCATGTGGCAGCGGCGATGTACGCAGTGTTTCTGTATGTTTTGCTCAGCTGTGTGCTGTGTCGGATGGCGTGTGTGCGCTTGCTCGCCGAGCAGAACGCGAAACGCTGGAAAACAAAATTTCCCGTTTTGCTCGGGTGTGTGCGCTAGGCTTTAATGAAGCTATTAAATATGATGCCGACGTGAGCGTGCAGTCGCAGTAAACTAAACGGAAAAGATAAATAATGAGATTTAGCTATTAAATTCACTTTAATAAGTGGACTAGTTGTCAGTAGTAAACGTGATTGTACGTTTTGCTGCAGAATATACTGAATAACTTCGACATCAATCTTGATTGGATGTTCAAGCTTTCCTTCATCGCCGACATCGCCAATGTAAGCTCATGAAATCGACGATATAAATTTACAAGAATATATAGGCCTATATATATATATATATCCTTATAAATTTATATATATATATATATATATATATCCTAGTATGTATGTGTG